TCTCTCTCTCTCTCTCTATCTATCTCTCTATCTATCTCTCTTCCTCTCTCTCTCTCTCTCTCTCTCTCTCTTTCCCTCTTTGCCCATCTAACAAATCATTGCTACTGAAATTGAGTTTGAGAGCTGGTAAAGGCAACATAAATGCTAAGAGTAGATAAAATATACTGAAATTAAATCACGTATACGCAACCGGTGAAAACATTTACTTTAAAATGAGAGGAAATAATAATTTCGTGAGAAGACTTTAACAATATTTAACAGTATTAACGTAAATATGTAAAATACCTGAAGAAATCTTGGATTTTCTAAATATTAGAATCAATTTCAATGCATCGCACGAATCAGTTATTAATGATTTACATTTGCCCATGCATTTTCATTCGTTTCGTATTTTATTATTTATCAGGGTTTTTTTTTTTATATAGATATATATATATATATATTTTACAGGTATTTGATATGATGTGGAGTGATCCTCAGCATATTGATGGATGTGTACCCAATGTATTACGTGGTGCAGGCACTTATTTCGGTCCGGATGTTACATCGCAATTCCTCAAGAAGCATAAATTACAACTCTTAGTACGTTCGCATGAGTGTAAAGTTGATGGTTATGAATTTAATCATAATGACTTACTAGTTACAATATTTTCGGCTTCAAATTATTATGCTATTGGATCCAATCGTGGTGCTTATATGAAATTAAATTTTAAATTGGAACCACATTTCGTTCAATTTATATCTGCTGCTTCGAAGACACGTGAATTATCAATCCGTCAGCGTGTTGGCATAGTGGAAACGTCTGCTTTACGCGGCTTGGGTGCCCGTTTGCGAGCAAAACGACTTGATTTAGAATTGGAATTTCAAAAACATGATCCTCATAATACCGGTATGATATTTTCGAAAGTGAAACATAAATAAGTAAAAAAGTAAATATATATTTCCGTAATACTAACTAACTAATAATTTCCTCCGCTTGCAGGCATTATAACAATATCGGAGTGGTGCGAGGCTATGGAAAAAGCTACACATTTAGGCTTAAGCTGGCGTTTGTTGAGACCACGCTTAGCGCCGTCATCACCAAATCAAGCGGAGTCTGAAGTGAATTATTTAGTCACCTTACAACTTTTAGACACGGACACAATGGTAGAATGATAATAAAGAAAATTTTTTTATTTTCTTTCAAACATATTTCTAATACTTAAGATTAAAGCTGAAGAGTTGGAAACCAGTGTTGCTGATTCTTTGTACAAAAATGTTAGCAGCCTGGAGGCTATATTCCATATAATTGATGCAGATCATTCAGGTTCGTGTTCTGTTTAAGTGGAAAATGACATGAAAGTGTAAGAAAATTCCTTCACTTTATTCCGTATTTTATTTAATGACCAAAAACCAAAAAAAAAAACAAAAAAACAATTCTTTGCGTTCTGAATGGGACATGCACTATATTGTCATGCCCAATTAAAAAAAAAAAAAAAAAAATTGGAACTTTATTCCCAACATTTTGGTTTAAATTAAAAAAATTGATGGCTTTTCATATTAACTTTGTCGTCACTGTCCGCTCGTAAAACATATATATACAAACAAATGAAAATGTTAAGCCCGGCCAAAATCGACAATTAAGTAGTCTAGATTACTCGGCAAGAGTTTCTTTGAAAATGCAACGTTATAAGGAGGATTGTCATAACAATGATTCGATCCAAACCATTTTCTATATGATTCATCATTGAAGGTTTATCCGTGCTAAATTTTTTGCAACGAATGAGAGCAAGTCGTGAACACAACTGTTAGCGAGGAAGTGCTTTTAAAGAGAGGATAAAATAAGGCTCACACGACTTGGATTATTGGAAACGAAGTTCAGTGCGAGACATGCAATAGGACAGTGCATGCTATAGGACAGTGTTATCTGTTCATAACGAATTTAATCGTGTAAAAGAGTGTAAACAGCTATTTTTTTCTTGTTAAGTGTAGAAAATTTTTTTTTATTTAAGTACGACTTTTTTCCGACGTTCATTTTTTATACCCTACGCTACTTATGGTACAAGGCTATATTAAAAATATACAAAATCACTAAGCTTGTCTGTCCGTCTTGTTTTCTTGTCTTGCTAAGATAGTTTGATGAAATGCGATACACTAATGTGTTTTAGCCCAAGCACGAACGCTATTGAAAATGGATTCAGATCGGATCACTTTTTCGACACCACTTCTCATATAACGCTTTATTGTAAAAATTCATTATACGAATAACTGCAAGGTTGTGTACGGTATTTTACGGTGATCCGTGGCCTGTTCTAGGCTTTTTATTTAATTTTTTTTCAATTTTAACCCATTTCTGTTTTATCTTTCACGTCAGGTTTTATATCATTGAGTGAATTTACTGCTGCTATCGATCTACTGGAACAACATTTGCCGGGAGTGAATCAGCGGGAACATCTTCTTCGCATGTGTCGCTTAATGGACCTGAATAATGACGGGGCGGTAGATTTAAATGAATTTCTCGAAGCATTCCGTTTAGCTGAACAGGCAAGAAATAAAAAAGGACCAATTGGATCGGTAACGGATAGGCGTATAGGCGGTGAAGATATAGAAAATCTTTCACCGAATATAAGCCTAAAAGGTGAAAAACTAATTTTCCATTAAATATTTAACTTATGAAAGTTCTTATAAAACATTCCATAGCTTCTAGTGCTACTGCAGCAGCAATTGCTGATGAATTGCAAGAAATGGTTTTCAATGACGTTGAAAATGATATTGACCCGTCTGATTGTGAAACGCAAAATGGTTAAAGTAAAAATATAATGAAAAAAGAATACTTTTTTTTTTTTCTTTGTTTTTGTTTTCAATATGTTTAGAAGAGCCTTCCAAAAGGAAACAAATGAATTCTCCTTGATGTTATCCCATGTATATTAAAAATTTGAGAAAGAGAAAGAAAAAACGCAATTTATCATAATTGTAGCGTTTTCATTAGATTTTAACATAAATAAGCAAGAGAGGCTGCTAAGTAAGCACTTGTTTCAATTATTATAACATTTTCTTCTTCTTTTTTTTTTTTTTTTGCCTTTTTTATTAAAGTCTTTCTATCGCCGTCCATTAGAATTCTTCGTTTATGTCGAGCAAAAATATTTTATTGTAATTTTTTAAAACCAATTATTAAGTTTGTAAGACTCTATTGTACAACTCGATGATACTCATGGCGTACTCTTTAAAATTTTAAGTCTTAGATTTTAATTAATTAATAATTAAATTTTCAATATTTATCCAACTAAATTTAAAAAAAAAAATCTTTTAATTATTTGAAAACCCAAAAGAATAAACTACTTCTGTTAACACAGCCAAAGCATTTAATAATAATAATAATAATAAAAAAAAAAAAAAGAAAAACTTTGTTAATATAAATTCAATTTTTAAAAAGCTTTCTTTATTATAATTTATTAAAAGATTTTTTACACCCGCGAATTATAAGAAACTATTATATAATAGAAATGCATGTTGTTTGCTAATATACCTAAAAAAAAAAAAAAACCAACTTGGGATCAATTGCAAAACTATTTACATAAATAGATAAGTTATTCCAAATAAAATAAGATATAAATTTGCATTCGTTTTGGATCGAATTGAAAATACTCATTGCCGAGAACTTCTCACGTTTCATAGTCAATTTTAGCAAGATATGCAGTCAGATATGATTAACAGTATTAATCAATCTGATCATATTTCTGCTATAACCCATACATTATTAAATATATTCATTCAGTACTTTTCCAATTGAGAGACTTTATGGAGTCTCTGACATAATGAATATTTCTCGGTGATGAGCGTTTTATATGAAAACCGATACAACTATTATTCGAAATGGAACAAGAAATTAAAATTAATTTTAATTAAGATTAAATGGAAATAAGAAAAACATTAGGAAAATACTTTGATTATTGTATAGAATATACAAAGTTGTCCTAACAGAAAGTGTATACTCTGAAAATAACTTATTATTAAGGTGATCGCAATTTTTATGCATGAAAATTGCAGTTGTATTTATTTTTATTTTTTTAAATTCTCTTTTTGTTACAAATGCAAAAGAAATTTTCGCACATTTGAGGCAGAGTTCTGCGCGTAAAGTTGAATAAAATTTTTATATCCCAAACTATTTGTTAGGGAATGGTATATATTAATCTTTTTTTATTATATTCTAAATCTAAAATCGGAATATATCCGTTCGTCTGTCTATCTAAGGTCTGGCCATAAATTTCTGTATCCGTAATTTTCGAGATATTTTAATGAAATTGGGTACACCAATGAATTTGACCCCGTAGGATGAACTCTGTAAAAAATCTAATAGAACGGACGACATTCACGGATCTCTGTTCACATAACGCCATCTTTTTAATAAGTTATTATATCAAAAAGCTTTGCAATCTTCCAAATTTCTCAATAAAATTTTCCAAATAATAGGGTTTAGGCATATTAAATTGATGTGAAAATTTGGATTAGATGGATCAATTTTTTTTTCCTCGCCCGCATGTAACTGACTCCTATGAGGTGTAACGCTTTATATTGCAAAAAGGTCGAAATTGACCAGTTAGATCCATTTTTTCGACCTCACTCCAAATAAGCTTGTATATGTTAATAAAGTCTAGCTTTGAATAATTTACGATGAAAATAGGTGAAGCTTAAGAAGATCTTTGACAGGAATACGAAATTAAATTTAAAAATTTTGAATTCATATCTTGGGCTAGCTTTGGTGTAAAGACTCCTATGAAAAATTATTATATATAGGGTTGTGAAATAAGCGTCAAACTTGCCAGATAATAGGTAACCGTTGAAATGACTGACGAATCGCATAGTATATGACATGAAATCTCAACTCTCTGGTCATATAAATCATGTTTGTAACCAATTTTAAAGGCGAATTGATATGATGGCGATGACCAACAAAGCAAAGCTATGGAGTGTAAATGCAAATGACTGCACTGTAAGCAATTAAAACGATTGGGATGTATTATGTCATTAATATCTGGGCGAATGCTTTTCGAGTAGAAAAAATCGGCAAATTTTAATCCATAATCGGCGTTATAAAGGAAAATAAGAAAACGGACTTGAATTCAAAAAAAAACATATATAAGCATTCTGTTTGGACAACTAAAAAAATTAATTTTAATCTACACAGCTACAAATTTCAGTTTACACTTTAAGTGTTTTAACTGATCAATTTATATTTAAATATATTTATTCATATTTATATGCGATGTACCAGAAAAGCTCCAGTTTCCCTTATACTTACATTTTACAATTAACCTCAAGCTTACATTTAATGTAGTATTACAAAAAAAAAAGAAAGAAAAAAAAAAAAACTTATTTTATTGCTTCTTGAGCTGTACTTAAGTCTATTCTACACAAATTCGTATTTTTTCAATGTTTGCTCTGAGTAAGACAAAGATGAAAAAAAGAAAAAAACTAGCAACAAAATCAAATACAAAAAACCAATAAAGATTGTTTCAAATTAATCGAGTTCTCTTCATTAAATTTAACAAAAAATTACTTAACCAAAACTGATTCTACTTTGGTTTTACTTTCTTTAAATGCATTCAATGTTGATGCCTTTTTTTTTTTTTTTTTTGCTTACACAATAGCTCAAGTTGTCATGAATAAGCTTCGATCGCAATTATTCTGACCGATTATTTTCATTTGGTTTGAACGAAAAACATATTGGCATACACAGGAGATAATAATGCAAGCAAAAAAAAAAAAAAAAAAAAAAAAAAAAAAAAAACTTAAATAAAATGCAAAAACAACACCTAAGTACCCGCCACGTGTATAAGAAAAAAAATAAATATAATACTGAGTTTGACAGGTATTTTTTCCAATCAAAAAAAACTTTTTAAAGAGCAAGCAAACTTCGGACTTTCCAATGATTTTGAACACAACAAAAATAGCGTCAGTGATACCATTATAACTTGTAAATAAATGAACAAATTACGTTTGGCTTTGACCCAATCTTCTGTGCCCAAAATCTTCATTTTAGAAAAAAAAAAAGGGTGAAGAACTTGCATAATAATATTGGATGACGATGGGCATGGGCAAGTCGCCATAGACTATATAAATTTCTATTGATGCTGTTTATAAGTAATGTAATAAGCAAGACAATTTTTATTTTCGTATGAAATTACTACTATGGGTCACTTTGCATCACCGCATATTAAAACTTCGAATTTTCTGCTCTACAAAGGATCAATTTTCATGACAATCTTTATTAAGGTAGAATGCAAAAAAATAAGCCGAGATGGTCCAAATTTGATCCAGTTTTTGTTTTATATTAAATTACTATTATGATATAATTTTCGTCGTGAAGCATTGAAAATCATCGAAGAAGTGGAGCGATCCGAACCGAAAATTTTTCAATGCACCGAACAAAAATTTTCACGGACAGACAGGCTTAAGTCAATTCAGATTATGATTCTAAATCGATCGGTACAATAAAAAGAGGGTCTATCTTAAATCTTTCTGTGTGTGTAACCATACGTCCGCACTAACTTAATCCTTAATTCAGTACCACAAGTTGTGCAGGATATAACAAGAAAACAAAAAGTTTCATTCGAGAAACAAGGAGCAAGCATATGAACCTTATTTTCATATGTATATGTTTGTTGTGTTTTATTTATTACGAACATTTTGACGGCATTTTCAAATAACATTTTTCGCCGGTGAGTATAAAAATTGAGTCGAACTGTAAATTTAAATCAAAATAATTCAAAGCCAATAAATTTTTTGAAACAATTTCTGTTAGAGGAGATGTTCAGGTTTTTCTAGTGTGTTAAGGAATTAGAAATAGATTTATTTGCATATATACACATTCAAGCGCTGTATGCCTGATTTCTTGTGCACATCTATGTAAGTATCATAGGCTAAAAAAGCAGTTTAACTTACCGTTCTTAGAAGATGATGAAGAAAACTTTAATAGAATTATATCGTCAAATTTCGGTTTTCAGTTCCCCCAATTTGCATTAATTAATTTATATTTTATTGTAATTTATCGAAAAAGCAACAAACTTGTGTATAAAAAGTTATTAATCGACAAAGCACGAACGCATCTTAGTTACAATTTTTCACCCGCTAAATTTTTGACAACTATTATCAATCACAACAGCCTTAAAATGAAACAATAAAATGGAAAAGAAAATGTTTTTAGTCTGGCAACAGCACACGGCTTAGGCAATGCTCAAAGCGTTAAAAGTGAAAACGGAAATTATTATTATTATCGTTGTCGTCAATTGTGTTAATTACTTTTCTAATCTCAAATTATAGGAAAATGTTAATTAAAGGAAAACATGAAACATAGGCGTAAGAATATGAGAGTGGATTCGGATACATATCTCTATCGGAAATTCCAAATAAAAACAGTTTCAGGTAAAATATTTGAGAATAAACCGCATTGTTAAATTATTAATATTATTTTATATTATTCTTATTCATATATTTTATTTATATTTCTCTTTATATAGATTCATAATTTTATGAATGATTCTGAAGGTTCTAAGGTTTTGTAATTTGTATTCCCAAGAATATTCTTCAATTTCCCTGTTAAAGATCTTCTTTTACTAAGTGTACCATGACGTAGCTTAAGTGTTGGTCTACGCAGGCAGAGAGTGACCATAGTTATTCATTAACTAAAGCTTATATTATTACTATGTATATCATGTATGAAACTCCGATCGGATTCCTTCAATACCTTTCCAACCCTCTAAAGTTAGAAGCAACTAGCAGAAAATAAAAGTTTCTTTCAATTCAATTACAAGATATTCTTTTTTCTCTTGAGTGCCCACGCAGAAAACATAAGTACTTCAAACACGGCAAATGAAAACGATTTTTCCCCCAAGTATTTCTTTACTTTTTACACGCTACAGCATTTGCGGTACATGGGTATATTAACTTTGTGCGGATGTATGCAACACCCGGGAGAACTTGACAGATATCCACTTTCGAAATCACTTCCTGAATCGATATAAGTTTGTCTATTCCGTCTGTCCGTCCTGCTTTCTTGTGTTTAATGTACAGGTGGTCCGAGAAAAGTAAGAAAAAGATTTTTTTTCCCATATTTTTGCAGATTCAAAGTCTCTATCAAGCAGGAAAGGACTTTCTTCTCTTTTTTTTAAATTTTTACAATGATGATACTTTCGTTTACTCAATTTTTCTTATATTTATAATCTGCATCACTTTCACTTAACTTTGTGCAGATGTATGCAACACCAAGCAGAATTCGAGACAGATCCACCTTTTATTATTAATAATTTCATTCAGAAAAAGACTCTGCTGCAAGCTAAAAGCTTGTCTGTCCGTCTGCCCTTCTATAATACATGTCCATCTATTGTTGTGTTCAACTTATAAGTCACAATCTTCGATCTGTTTTGATGAAATTTGATATATTGACGTGTTTTGGCCTAAGGACGAACGCTAAAGAAAATGTTTTCAATCAAATCAACTTTTTTTTCTTACTGATTTGATTTGGCGATTAAAAGAACGTCCATAAACAAGTGAAGATGCAACGAGCTTAAGAAAAATTGAAACTTTCCGTTTAGTGATTAATATTTTTTATTTTAACATTTTAAATATTCAGTCTCCTTAATTGATTAATTCGGTTTGCGAAAATATTTTCTGAAGTTTATTCCGTTTTCGTCCTTTTTCTTCGTAAACTTAGGGATCGCGTAACCCAAAAAATATCAAGACTTACAATGTTTGTCTTACTCACATATTATCCCTATTCTGGTATCACTTTTTTTCGCATTTTCAAATTCTCTCAAATGTGAATATATTTTCTTCGTTTATTAATTTTGTTATCTTTCCTTTTCTTTATAGTTATTTTTTATGCTGTTTCAAGTATATATGATTATATATAGAATTTTTCTTAATTTTATTTATGTATACATATAATATAATAACTTACGTAAGAATTTGAAAAAAAAAAAAAAAAAAAAAAAACAAGGACTATAATGTTATATACATCGGACTTAAGGTAAAGAAAATTTGATTTGTTTCGCGAATAATTTCTCATTTTAAATAAAACAATCTACTTGAAAAATCTTGCAAGCAATATAATTAAAAATGTTGAAGTTTTTATAAAAATTTCCACCATATTTTTAAATAATTTAATTTTAATCAATTAATGGTAAATGCAAATTAACATTGTTCATATAAATTATGCATAATATATTGTGTATCAGTTGTTACTTGTCCCTAAACCACTCATTAATAATTAAGTAAATATTGCAAAGTCCAAGAAAAAAAAAATAAAAAAAATATTGTTTATCATAATTTTTTACTACTTTCTAAAGTTTAATTATATTAAAAAGGAAAACAAAAAAGCAATCGCGAACACTATAGTAAGCCACGGCCCACCATTAAATACCCTACACTACTTTTACTATTATTTTTATTCATATAAGAACTTTTCAAAATGAGTCTTTAGACGGGGCGGGGTCGACCAAGTGATACGATCTGAAATATTTTTAACAGCGATCGTCCTTGGGCCAAAATTTGGGATCAAATTCTATAAAATTAAACTTACGACCTATGGGTTGCAAACGAAACGGACAGACGGACAGACGGACAGATAAGCTTAGATTTAGATTTACAAAGTGATTGTGAATCGATTAGCGTAATAAACATGGGTCTATCTCAAGTTCTTTTCGGTTTTGCATACATCCGCATAAACCTAATATACCCTTTTGGTATAGGGCAGTGTAGAGTATAAAGAACAAAAAAAAAAAAAAATTAAAATTAAAATAAAAATTGACTAGAATTTGAATAAATAAATTTGCAGTGAAGGGAAATATATAGAATGTCGAACTTAATAAATTGTACATAAGGCCTCGTTCAAATTTTAATTCAAATAATTTTGATAACAAAATGATTGTAATTTATTAACACGTTCGCGATCATAAATGCTATATCATTCATTTTCATTATGATACGAAATGTCGTGTGAACCCTATACCATCCAAATTCTCAAGCCAATTATTTTTTTTATATTTAATATCATATAATATTTTTTATATTTAATAATAATTGAAAATGAAAAACTTTATACGCATTATCTAGAATGTTATAGCATTCATTGTGTGTTCTATGTAAAATAATATTCTAAGTGTACCCTCGCAACATAATTCTGTCAATTAATTAACAAACAAAAAAATGCTTATTTGCTTTTACAGCTCACTGAAATTGTTGTTCGCTTTCGTGGACGTGTTAAGCTGCCTGTTTTTGTGATTTATCTGAATAAAATTATTCAGATTTTGTGTTTTAAGAAAACACTAAGCGACTTTATAAAATGAACGATTAATTTAAAATTACTTAAAACATATTTATTAAAATCTACTTTACACTGTATGTGTGTGTGTGTTGGAAATCTTTTTGGAAAATGATATTCAATTGTTGTTGGTGGTAGTTAAGTTCATTAATGTTTTAAAATATTAATTGAGTATATATGTTTATATGTAATTTTTTATATATGCACATATATATTTATATATATATATATATATGATAAAGAGATCTTTGAATTGTTCGGAAAGAGGTACAGAGTTGAATAACGTTTTTATTATTTTATTATTATTATTATCATTATTATTATTATTATTATAAATTTTTATTTTTCAAGAAAAGTACAATTTAGTGGGAAACCTCTACGAGTGGTATTAAAAATATAAAGTAGAGAAATTTCATTTAATTTTATATGTTAATAACTGATGACTAGATTCAAATGCTTAGGTTAGGTTAGATAATTCACAGCTTCTTACATAATATTTTACGGTGCACGGCCAAATTTATTATATATATGTAAAAAAAAAAAAAAACAAAAAAAAAAAAAAAAAAAATGGGAACAGAACTTGCTTTAAGTAGTTACTAAACTTCCAACATTTTTAATTGCCCACATTTTTACACTTATCAAAGGATAATAGTAATTTATTATTATCATTCCATTTAAAATACAAAGAAATTCATATCAGAAATCATACTAACTAATAATCTTACAAACAGTGCAATATTCTGACCCATTTTCGTCGCTCTTCTATTCTTTCGATTCTCAAAAACGTCAAAAACTTAACACAAAAAACTGATGCTTTGATTATATATATATGTAAATTATGTTCACATATCCCGTGTGACACTCATGTAAAAATCCAAAATCCAAAGTTATTTCGGAAAATTTAAAGTAACGATCTATACTGATGAATATTACGACGGCTATACGGCTAAAGTGTTGATTAGAGCCAATAAAAGCCTTGAGAATAAAAAAAAAATAATAAAAAATCCCGATCAGCTCCCGTTAAATTATCAAAAATGCATACGAGGTAGTGGATATTTCGTGATTTGCATTATGGTGAAGTAAATGTCCTCACTTGTAACTTAAGTGACTCCATTAGCTTCAAGTCTGTTAAAGTACTAAAATAAAGGTATTGACAATGTAATGCGCACCTGGACTTTTTACCCATAAGTGCAGTTTATAAAATTTATGCTTTCATTACAAAAAGTTAGTTGCCGTCACATTAAGATTAAAAAAAGAAAAACAAAAAAAATCCTTTTTTTTTAAAGTTATTAAAAAGATTATGGGCGTTCCCTTAATAGAGGCAATTTCGCCGAAAATGCGAGTCTCCAAAAGTTGTACGTGACTGCGTTTGCTCGTTTTTTTTTTTTTTTGTTTTTCTTTTTTTGGAAAAGGTGTCGTTTCTAGACTACTTTAAGTTCTAAGGTACGGTTTTTTAAATAACCGTAGATATGTGGGGAGGTGTGAGCGATTCCATTTTATTTAGTACAATGTTCTGCTCGTCTTATAAAACGGTCAAAATCAGAGAAATGTAATGTCTTACTTAAGTGGATCTATACGTATGTATAAGTATTTCTATTTATAAATTTGATATAAGTTTTTGTTTTTGTTTTGTCTTTTTTTTTTTTTTTTTTTTTTTTTTTTTTTTTATTAATTTAAATTTTTTTTTTATTAAATGTTTGAGCTTTTTTTACCGCTATTGCGGTACTTACTTTCTTTAAATTTCTTAAGAGTTGGCATTCTTCTTTTAGGCGTTCTTTTGCTGTTAGATTTCTTTCCGTAGAATGACTATCGTGATCGCTTTCACTTTCATCAGCGTATTGTATATCATCCAAGGCTAATCGTTGTTGCAAGTCACTGGGTGACTTAACTACCGATGTTTCCTTCTCTATATATGAACCATTCATGGATTCCGTTTCTAATACCGAGATTAAAGAACTATTGCTGCTTATGGGCTTTTGTTCGCTTGTTTCGCTTACATTTCGGGCTGATTTAGTAGCATTAAGTTCCTGCAATGCTATGCTGTCTTTATTGGGATGGTTTTGTAACGCCAAAGTTGACTTTGATTGTTGCTTTTCTTGTCTCTTTCGCTTCCGCGCAAGGTAAGGACTTATCGATTTCGTGGGATTTGTGGTTGAACTCGCAGATATTACTTTCCTTATGAAAGAATTTTTTAAATCTGTTTCACTGGGCGTGGTGGCTTTTGACTGAAAATTACTATTCAACGGTGAGATTTCCTCAGAGGTGGGTGTCGTATTGGTGGTATTGTTACTAGAATCTGTATTACTATGAGGACTTAAGTAATGTGAATACTTTGGCATTTTTATTTCTTCATATAAAGGCTGGGTCTCATCGAACGTGGCATTGCAATCGCCGGGTCGTGGTGTTTTGTCCGCGTCTTCACGATCCGGGGTACTTATCTCATCAAAGGGTGGTACCCATATTAAATAAGCCGGATCCATACCTAAATATGATCCGGGAACCGAACCCGCATTTGTCACATTATAATCATAATAGTCCAATTCAAAATCTTCGGGATTACCCAAAGAAAATTCGGAACCAGGACGTGTTAGCAACTTTTTACGATTCTGTTTATCTTTATTTGCTTTCGGATTCGTTGTACTCCGTATTGTGGCCGTACTGACGACACTGTTCGCTGAGGAATAGCAACCCTAGTATTATATAAGAAAATCAATGAAAATATTTATTTCGTTTGTCTGTTTTTGAAAAAACTCACATTAGTTAAAACTGACTGAATATTTTCAGAATTTACGTTTTGGTTCCTCTTAACGTTCTTAAGTTTATCTTCTATGTTAAAGTGAGAACTCGTTAATTTTAATGTAGTAGCTTCGCTATATTTACGTAAATCTCTACTTTGCCTAGATGGACTATAACAAATTGAACTCATACCCGATGATACAATACTTTCATTATCTTTGGAGCTGTCTTTGCGTGTCAAAGTACCACAACTATGAACATTTTCTTCGTCGTCGCCTTCACCCGCAGCCGAGTTTAATGAATCGCTGTTCAAAATCTCTTCCGCGTACGAAGGACTTTGGCTTAAAGTCTCAGTTATAGGAGATATTATTGCATTTCTTAAAGTGATTATAGATCCGTTGCTGCCAAATTCTTCAACACTTGTAAAAATTAAAAAAAAAACAACAAAAAAAACAAAAAAAACAAAAAAAAAATAAATAAATCAATTAATGATTAATTTTCTTTTATTTTTAATTTTTTACAGAATATTACGTGTTATATACCGACTCACCAGTTAACCATGGACTCCTTAACTCGTGAATCATTCAGTTCAGTTTCGCGCGCTAAATTTTCAGCATCAATGCTTTCTCTGAGTATAGAATGGCGTAGATGACGTTTGGGACGCATTTTGACCATGTAAATCACTTCCGATATTAAAGTCGTGGTGGAGAGGGCTCGAGAAGGCGGTCCTTGTAACGAACTCATCGAAGCTCTGGGCGTATGCAATCGCGAACCTTCATCTCTGCTTCGCGCCACCGCCAAATGATATTTACGATAGCGCAAAACATATTGGGCACCTAGAGAGATTGAAATTTAAAAAAAATTTTATTATATAAAAATCAATAACGTCGTAATCAATTAGCCCACCTAATAAAGCACTTATTAAAATAATAATGCTGGCAAATATTATCGCACTCACGTGCACCAATGTGAACTTGGCAGCTAACTGAGGCCTTTTTAATATTGACCGGCTTTTCACTGTTAATCCGGTAGCAATCAGTAAAGTGGCTGCCGAGGTTTCCGATGAGTTTTTAGCTATTTTCATAGAAAAATATTTAAGCAAAAGTTCTGCATCTAATCGACAAAAACTACTCTTACTTAATTGTTCGACATTCGCTAAAAAACCGCCCGTGCACATTAAGCCGGTTTGATTTGTTAAAGAGGACTCTTCGCCCGCAAAAAATTCTAATAATAATTGCGCTCGACCGGATTCTAAGCGTAATGGTACATTCATATTTTCTCCAATTGCGTCAGTTGAATGTATTGTGTCGCCACCCTGCAATTCCGTTAAAAGTGTCGAAGATAACGATGGCCCATCACGCACTTTAATATATTGCGTAGCACATGGCAAACGTAAAAAATTTAATTCCATTGATATATACTCTTCGCCGTCAACCTGAAAATGTTATAGAGACAATTCAATAGTTATGGCTTCTTTACTTTTCGAAAGTCAATGCAAAATCAATCATTTTAATTGAATTACTACTGTTGCTTACTCAATATAAACAAAATCGATATTAGGTCACTGATACGCAACTTTTACGGGCTTATAGCAATCTCATATACATTATATCACTGATCCGATTTGATGCTTTCATATTGTCATCAGTGACAGGAAATACACAGCATTACAAATAACAAATGGAAATAAATGCAATTAAAAATCTGCACTGAAGTGCGTGGGCAAAAACATTCGAATAATATTTTTAGAAATCATTTTCTCTTATTTCCTTAATGAACGTAGTAGGATTCAAAGTAGACTAATCTCAACCAATTTTATTTGCACTCGTTGTCATGAATGCAAATGCGAGCAATTGGAAAATATTAAAGTGAAACAAATTGCTGCTCGTTTCGATGAAGACAGCAAACAGCAGTTCCCAAGCAACGTGATATGATGTAACCTTAACATGTTCTTTTACATGTTTTACAAAAACAATTTATGATTATATCGTACACACCGCTTATTGTAAAGGGTATATTAAGTTAGTGTGGTCGTATGTAACACATAGAAGGGCTTAAAATAGGCCCACCTTTTATTATACCGATCGATTCGGAATCATAATCTTAATTAATCTAAATCAGTCTGTCCATCTGTCCATCTGTCCGTCTGATGTTTGTCCATGTCAATTAGTACTCAGGATGAATGCTATTGAAAATAGTTTGGATTGGACCAATTTTTCGTTATATGAGGAATGCGAAAAAAATTGCAATTTTCAAAATTTTTCGGCAAAACTGGCTACGTAACAGTATTTCGGCATTCTAAATTGGTACGGAAACTTTGAACCGGCTGGGATTATTTTTAAACCCCCTCATATAACGAAAATTGAAGTTCACAAGAAAATTATAACATAATAGCTATTTAACAGAGAAAAATTAAATGTATCAAATCGAAACCTTCGTGGCTTATTTTTTGAACCCTACACTAATAAGGATTTTCACGAAAATTCACCCTTTATAGGGTAGAAAAACGTAAATTTTACCAAGTGGTGATGGAAATTGACCCATACTATTATAATAATTTTATACAAAAATGAACTGTACAAAATTTGGACCATCTACGCCATTTTTTGGGGCCTGCCTAAGTAAGGATTAAACTTGTACTACATTAGGTTCCATTTTGGGCCCGTTTCCCCACTTGAAAACAAGATATAATTTTTTTATTCTAGAATAAAAATAAGAATTGTGCCAGAGCATGTGCTCGGCCTTACCCGACTATAATGTTCTTATCCGTAAAAATTTTGCGAAATTGCTACGCCCACTAAGAGGAGTATTTGAAATTTTCTGAAATATCCGTCCAAGGTAGACATATATACTCTTGAATAGCATGAATAGCAAAATGAATTTAGTTATCTGTGCCTGCTCATGTAATGAAATTAGATTTTATTATGGGTTATTAGTGAACAAATATACATTTCTGAAATTTTTTTCTATTACTCTCGTCAAGTTAACAAACCAAAAAAAAAAATAATTGTCACGTTCAGTTGGTAAAAATCTGACCATTCTCGTCAATTCACTAAATTGCATGATGTTTGCTATAACTATACATATATATATATATATATATATATATATATATCTTCCCGGTTAACACGATTACTTCGTGCAAGTCATGGTATGCGAAACTTTTTTATTTTCTCATTTTAACTTAAATATCATAAAGTGGTGCAATTACTTTGCACAGCGTTGTATTGGAACCGTGTTTTATAAGTACCTTGTATGTGCCGTGTATATGTATAAGAGATTCGATAGACGTAAAATTTGTTTCCTACTTATTTCATTTATCTGTGAAGTGCCATCAAGTTGTATATAAAAATGTGATTTAAAATGTATACGATATATCTGATACGATATACGAAGCCCTCGTATATCCAGTGAATATGCCGTTGTCGTAACAACCAATATTCAATTCTGTCCCTTATAAATTTTAATCTTTACTTTTCCTGTTTGCAAGTCAAAAACTACGATTTTTAAAGCCCCTCTCCTAGTATAATACTCAAAAGTGAAGAGAGCGTGTAACGCAAAAGGAAAGCTAATAACTTTTAATGTTGCTTTCAATGCGGAACACGTCTCTGTTAATAACATATCTGCCAACTTCAGGAGGCGAGGTGTGAATGGCATTATTATTACATTCGTAATAGTTAGCTTGTCCAAAATTTATTTAGAAAGTTCTTTCAGCTGCTATTGGTAGTTAGCACTGCTGTAAAATTTTACAAGTGTTCAACTTGAAGATATTCCTTTGATTTGCTAACAGTCTGCGATGCCTGTGCATGGTGATGAAATTCTCGCATTTTTATGAAATTAATAATTTCATTAATAATATATGTTGTTTCTTTCTTTTTTTTTTTTTTATATATATACCCACCACTGTACACTTTTGTAACGCTGAGAGAAACGCTTCAGAGACCCTATAAGATATATATATATATATTCTTGATTAGCAGGAAATTTTGAATTGATTGGGTCATATCTTGTCGTTTGTACGCTTGTGTAGTGTGTGTTGTTGACACTTTTCGTTGTCGCAAAAATTATCCACTTTAAATTTGATTAGAAGCATTGGAAGCTTTTGCATGCAGGTTGATACTGAAAGCGAGTCAAATTGATTCGAGCGGAAGCTCGCAGTGAAGCGTAAACTAAACGCATTTCAAATGAATTATGAAAGATAAAAGGCTAATGTTATCCACGTTGACTTTACGAAAATCTCTACATCATTTGTTGCGTAAAAATGAAGAAAATCAGCCATGCCCGTTCAAAGTTACAAGTGATTAAATTCTCTTCGTTTCCCTCTTTGAGGTTTTATAATTATTAATCAGGTACGGTAAACGAGAGAGAATGTTTGAAACTATTTTGCATTTTTCCTGCATCTTCCGGGAAATGCTCTAATTTCCAAATAAATGTAGTGGACCCCACGATCCAGTAAATTGATTTTTTCTTAATAATGCCAGCGATATGGGTATCAAATGAAATAGGTTGAAGAATCGAAGACGCCAAGCTAAGTGCGTCATTTCTAAATTAATTGCGGTGGACGTCGCGAAGTGAAGGGTTAATTTTTCTTTGTGAAGTAAAAGATGAAAGATAAATTTTATCTTATTCACTTCTTTATGATAATAAATAAAAGCATTCGGCGTCAAAGATTTTAATGGTGGTAGGTATGCGAGATTCGTCCCCAACATCAAGATTTACGCAAGATTTCAATTTGCCGCTGTTTGTGCGTTCAAGTTTTGGTATCACGTTTCGGAAATCAGAATTTTGATAGAAGAGCCAGCGAAGCCATGGAAGGCCATTTGCACGATGTGCTATTCCTAACTTGACCCTAACGTCCTATGTAGAATAAAAAAATTCCAATTAAATGAATTAATTCAAATGTTGCGTATATTTTGAGACACTCTATAGAACTACTGCAAGTAATTACATATCAAAATTATTGATATATTCGAAAAGAATTTGAAAAAAATAAAAGCAAAGATTAAGGCTATCAATGGAAAATTATCAGATTATTGTTCGATAAAGAACTCAAGTATCAATTTCGACGAACACTTCTTTACAATGGCAAAAAAGTCCAATTGAAATTGCAATTGAAATTTATTTGTTGTTATAAATATGATAAGTGGCATAATGTGAGTATAAAAGGACTATCTAATGAAATTTTATTAACAGTTGTTATTAAGAAATCGAAATAAATTCATACAAAATTTTTAAACAACATGAACATTCTGTTAAGGGTCATTTGTTGCTTCCTCCTAATCGAAGGCCTACAATCTCAAGAGGATCAGGTGAATTGAAAATTATTATTATTATTTTGAATTCATAGACTTAATAAATGAAAGAAATTTTAGATTCCTAATGTAGAAGACATTATACGACCTTGGCCGGCTTGTGACGGTTTAGAGGGAGTAATGTTACCTCATCCTAACGATTGCCGACGATACTATATATGCCATTATGGTCTTGCTAAAGTTCAATGGTGTCCAGATAATTTACATTGGAATGCTTTAGCGAATCGATGCGATAATCCGGAAGTTGCAAACTGCGTAAATAACAATCACAAAATTCAGGTCACAAAGGTCAGGAAAGTTTTGCAACCGCATCCTTCGGTAAATGAAGAAAATCGTATAAAAGAAAACGACTGCCAGCTATGCAATGATTTGTGTGCACAGAGCAATCAAAGGTATCTACCGTATCCTGGCGATTGTCATAAATTTATACAATGCAATGGGCATATAGGTTACATTAACACCTGCCACGATTTGTATTGGAATGCAAAATTAACTGCTTGCTATGGCTATTGTGTACCAAATTAAATTAAAATTAACGATGAGAACATTTTTTAATTTAATCCATTATAATACTGAAATAATTAAAATTATATTTTTTATTCGTTTCACACTGCTGTTAAAGGATAGATTTGTGATAAACTTATCTAATCGCTATCTTATATTATTATATAATCTTTCTGAATCACTCTTGATGAACTTAAGATTCTAACCCGTATTAAGTATGTCCGCCTAAGGACCCGTTTATTCGCGTTATTCAAAATTCTTAAAGTATTTGGAAACTCTTTACTCAAATGCGGATACTATGCAATGATTCCAGTGAATTCGCTTCAAGGCACAAGAATGTAAACCGAATGGTAAATGACACGCCAAGATCGTACAAACTTATGAAGAATTTCTTGTTTGAAGACTGTATTGTGCAAGCGCAGGGAACATTTTAATATTGTTAAAAAGCTTCTTCTTTGACAACGAAGGTGTCAGTTGATCTGCTCTTATACATTACTGCTATTAACAAGCATAAGTGTGTGTGAGTGTGCGTGTGCGTGTGCGTGTGTCGCAAATTTTGATATCTTCTCCTCTATTAATAGCTTAAAGGTTTCATGTGCATATACCTCCACTGGTCGCACAATACCTAAAGTATTTTTGCATATCATGACTTGCACATTGCCAGCCATTTCTTATGAATTCGGTACACAGATAGATATATTGTCAATATTTCCATCATTGAGCAACAAACACATGAAATTCGTATGGAATATTTCAATAATTAATTGTGTCAAGTGGCATTTTCAACTTACACAACGACAGTACAAGAACACTATAGTCGGGTAAGGCCGACCATTATATATCCTACGCTACAAAAATGACACATTATATTGGGGGATGTTCAAATCGGCCAAAAATACACCTACGTGGTTCAAATTCGGTAAGGTTAATCTCTGTGCCAACTTACTATTATGAATTAACTTTTGGCATAAAATTCACATATATCTACCATATAGAGATTCATGAGAGCGGGTTCCGAAAATTAACTCAGGCGAACCAAATTTTTCACACCAATTTAAACGATCGAGATAGTTTTACCCAATGACTTTTCAATATAAGGCGTTTTACGAGGATTGGTCGAAAAAGTGAACCGATCCATACCATTTTCAATAGCCTTCATCATTGGGTCAAGGCATATCAGTGCACTAAATTTCATCAAAACATCTCAACAATTATGATCGGTAGGTTGAACGCAAGAATATATGGATAAACATCAGACGGATGGGCAGACAGAGGAAGAGGCAAGCTTTGATAACAAGTGCACTAAATTTCATCAAAACATCTCAACAATTGTGATCGGTAGGTTGAACGCAAGAATATATGGATAAACATCAGACGGACGGGCAGACAGAGGAAGAGGCAAGCTTTGATAACAAGTGGGTCTGTCTTAAGCCATCATCATATCATAACTGATGTAGGGTATAAAAAGACGGTTTTACCACTTTTTCTCGTAATGGAAAGTAAGGTAACAGATTGGTAGTATCTAATAAAGTTAGTAGGCGTACACTGAAGTATTAAAAAAACAAACTGTTTTAGAAAAACTATTAAAAAATGACAACAACGCAGCCATTCTCTTGAGATGTTTGCAGTGCCAGTGTAACTGGTAAAAATACGAATCTAAAAAAAGAAAAACAAAAAAAACATTTAATCTATATTCACACATAGGATTATTTAGATATATTGATTTTTATGCAACTGGTGAGTATGTGAAAATACCTTACGCCTTTCACTAGAGAATGTCGTTTTAAAAATACTATAAAAAATTCGTATGAAAAAAATGAAACTTGTTATGTTGAGTGTCATTTTCAAAATCGCATTTCGAGATAAATGCGTTTAAAACTTTTACATGTGCTGTAGAGCTAAAGCCAGGAAAATATATAATTTAATAGAAGCATTGATAATCAAGATCAGTAAGTTCATCCGAAATTTTTCATTTCTTTGTAGGAGCTCTGAAAGCTTTCGAATCGGTCGCAGCCTCGTGCTTGCTTTTGAGCGGACCCTAGTCCTTATTACAACAATGTAACAATATATTTTTGAAAATGCTTTAAAATGAACTATGAACACTTTCCAAAGGCATCTGCTAGTGTAGTCGAGAAGTCAGAAATAAGCAGATAGACCATTAGGTTGCAAGTTACCAGCAAATGGTCTTTTTCCGGGTAATACACTCTTTTCTTCAAATTCAAAACTTCCGTTAAGTGAAGAAGAGAGATTTTTTTTTTTTTAAATATTAGGTCGAGTCATAAATAACTTCCAGTGTACATAGGTAGAATCTTTTGTTCAACTTCACCCGCTATAAGTTACCAACACAAACGAGTTTTTGTTTTCACTAAATAGATCACGATTCAGTTAATCTTGTCTGTCAATTGTGGTGAGAGTCAAAAAGTGCATATTCGATATGTAATGCTATGGGAATTTAAACAATGCAATAGCGCTAAGGCGACAGCTGAAAATATATTGAGCGAATTCGGTGAAGGACTCATAACTGATCGGGCAGTTAGAAATTGGTTTGTAAAATTCCGTTCTGGCGATACGACCTTAAAAGGCGGGCCTTCCTTCCGACTATGACAATAGCCTTTTAGGGGCGACATTGAAGCAAAATCCACGCCAATCAACAAACGGCATAGCAAAAAATTTGAATACTTCACAATCCACTATCAAATTAATATCATTTTATTATTCAATAAAAACAAAACAAATATCTGGTAAAACAAGTAAGAACACTGCAGTAGCGCAAGGCCGATTATTAAATATCTTACACCACATTCTCTAACACAATTTTTGTTTTTGTATGAAATTACTATTAAGGGTTACTTTTCATTGCCATATATCATATAAAAACTTAAACTTTTCTGGTCTAAAAAAAAAATGAAGTTTCGTGAAACTCCTTATTAGTGTAGTATCCAAAAAATAATCGGAGATGCTCCAAACTTGGTATGTTAAATTAGATATAATTTCCATCATGAAGCATTGGAAACTATACGTTTTTATCGGGGGGTTCAAAAATTTGCGTCAGCCAGTCCAAAGATTTCATACCAATTTAGAATGTCGAAATACTACTACTTAGCCACCTTTGCCGAGAATTTTGGAAAATTGCAATTTTTTTCCATACAACGAATTTTCTGAATAGGGCATCGTATGGGGAGTGGTCGAGAAAGGGGACCATTTTCAATAGCGCGCGTCGCTGTACGAAATTTCATCTTAATATCGCAAGAATGCACGAACAGACATCAGACGGACGGACAAACTGGCTTAGATCAATTCACAATATGATTCTGAATCGATTGGTTTAATAAAAAATGTATCTATCTTAAACTTTTCGGCGTGTTAGATACGACCGCACCACAACTTACCCTGTACCCTAGAACGACTTGAGGTAGCCCTGGCTGATATCTGCCCATAAATTCTTGTGCTCAACCTATAGATAACAATTTACGAAATATTTTGATGAAGCTTAGTATACTAACGTGTTGTAGACCAAGGACGAACACTATTAAAAACGGCTGGATTCGGAACGCTTTTTAAACTACTTCCCATATAAAAATTGCAAATTTTCAAAATTTCTCAGCAAATTGTGGCAATTTTTTAAGCCCCCTCGAACGAAACCTTCGTATGACAAGAAGGTCTAATGCATTTCAATCCTTGCTGATGAAAATCAGATCATAAGAATTGTTTCAAATAAAAAAACGAAATGCATCAAATTTGCACCACCGCGGCCTATTTTTGGGATTCTACCGCCTATAAGGATTTTTACAAACCCCCGAACAATTTCACTAGAGATATACAAGTGAAGGATGTTCAAAACAAGGCAACCCAAACTAATTCGCTCTTTTATATAAGTGTACATTTTGCTTAACTCAAGTTCTAAAATTTTTACAAAAATTGATAAACAACTATCTGAGACACCACTTGCAACGGTACTCATTCAAATTATAGAATTCTTCTTTCACTGGCGAAGAACAACATCATTCATATATATATCATCCATCCATGCCGTCATTTTGCATATTTGTCAAATTGTCGAATTTTTGAAAATCTTTAAAGCCTACGAAAAAATGAAATGAATCGACTTAAAAGAGGGAAATAAAATCAAAAAATTTAGATTGAATTTGCAAACATAGGCACAGCGTAACAATGTTAGCTTGCAAGATATAATGAAAAAGATGCATCTATTCATACATTCAACATTACATCATATCGTACATATCATACATACTTTAAATTATATTTTTGTGTAATTGTGTGACAGCACACGCAAATGGCACATATATATATATATATCTCGGCATACTTATAATACTGCCATCAAAAATTAAGATCAATAATATTCAAGTAAAATTCCGCAAGTATATCGCATATCTGTGACAGATATCTGTGCCAAATTTCCCATCATCAGCATCATTAGCGATTCAGTTGAGCGACAAGAAAATTCATTTTTTCTGATTTTTACGACTTGTGATTACGACGTTTGTTGCGCAAAGAAGTTGCATTAAATATTATTTGCGGAATGAAATATCTTATGCAAAAACGTTTAGGATGTTTCAGAGACCCTTTGATTTTGTCAACAGGAAATGTTTACAACTAAGTTTGAAATAAGGCCGAGCACGGGTTGAAGACGAAGAGCGCCCCGGACGATCATCAACGTTGACCGATGAAAGCCATATCAAACAAAGATCAAAGATTCGATGCTTGCTAAGGGAAAGTAAAACGGTGCGGTCAACAACATTTTAAAAGATATTTTGGATCCGAAACGTATCAGATCTCGATACCGATCTCGAAACACTAAATATTTGCATTGGCTCTTTAAGACCATATCGTTGAAAATGCAACCCATACCGTTCCATAACTACCGTATGCACTTGATTTAGCCCCATGTGGCTTCTGACTATTTCCGAAACTTGAAAAACCATTCCAAGGACAACGTTTTGACTCGATTAAAGAGACAGAAGCTGACAACAACTGTTCGTGGGTTTTGAAAAAACGTTAGCAAGAGTATGTAGTACAGGACTGGGATTATTTTGAAAGCGGCGAAATGGATTTCGAATAATAAACAGATTTAAAAAGACACAACTAAATTGGTTTTAATTTTTAATCACAAAAGTATGTAGAAGTAGAGGGGAATCGAAAAGTAACGAGAATGCTAAAGAGAATAATTTGTTATCAAGAATATTCTTCTGCGCATCGATTCGCTGCAGACATTACGAATTTATATAGGGGGAAAGGCGGAAAAATCAGAATCATTGTAGTAGTCGGCTCTTCGGTGCTAATCAAAAGTACATATAATTCAAAGCATTCTCGATGCGTAACCAAATAAAAAATAAAACGCATCACTGTGAAAACCATAAAAAGTCTCAATATTATTGGAATGAAAATTAAAGAGTTCGTTGTCTAAAGTCAGTAAAATATTGAAAGAAAGGTTTTGTCAAAAAAAAAAAAAAAAAAAAAATAAAGTGTAATCTTCTTGAAATGTGCTCAATAAACCCAAAAGTAAACAAATAACACTTTAATCAACTTATACAAGTTGCCTACAAGCATCACATACGTGTATATCCTTCTATTATCTTTCACAGGAAAGTACGGAGCATATAGAGCACGAAGATATATAGAGCAAGGATAATAGAAATTTACTTGAGGATTTGTATAAAAAAAAAAAAAAAAAAAAAAAAATAAGGAGAGTAATCAACATTTAAAAAGTATTGATCCCCAAGGAGCATAAAAATAGTTCAAGAATATTTTTTTTATTTATTTTTTTTTTTTTTTATTATCTGCGAATGAATAAATGACTAAATGGCATACCAATGTATAGAAGAGGAGTCTATGAGATAAATTAAAACAAAAATAATTCTCAGGACTAAGCTATTCTATCGCAAAAAGAGAAAAAAAAATAAAATAATAATAGCAATAGGATAAAATAAAAAACAAACCATAATACTAGTATAAAAAACGATAAGAGTAGAATATCTAAACAATGGAAAGGAAAAATTGAAGAAATATTTTATGAATTTTTAGAGAATTTTTTCAAGCACTTCTTGGTAATTCTTGAATGAGAAAATTGTGCTTTAACTCGCTTGCAAAATTTATAGTCAAAGTTTATTCTTAGCTTTAATTAACTTTACGTGACTTTCCACTAAATCATCTGAATGTCATCATGTGGAAGATGTGTCATCGCATATGCACACCTTTAAATTGTTACATATTAGTTTATTGCTATCATTTATTGAACACTTCATGTAACTCTCTTTCTCTCTCTCTCTCTCTCTCTCTCTCTCTCTCTCTCTCTCTCTCTCTTCTCCTATCGTACAATATCATTATCTATGCACGCCCTTCACTCAATCCCTTGACTTGTCGCTACGTCGTTTATCAAAGATATCGCCGCTTTTGTAGTAAACTCCTCTTTTAACTGCAGTATGCTTGCAAGTAATGTCAACGTACGCTTTGTTTGCTATAGTTAGATATGTATATATCGATATATATGTGTATATAAAATTGGAGCACCAACGCAAGTGGCGATGCATAAAAGGGAAGAATAATACATTTCTAGAGCGATATTTTATGCAAATCTTCTTTGATGAGTTTTTATACCCAATACCGAAGGATGAGGGTTATATTCATTTTGCCAAAAACCTTTCCAACGCCTGGAAGGAAGCATCAGAGACACCACACAGTGTATGTATTCTCGATTAGCATCATATTTTAAATGTCCGCCTGCCCCTTCAGTCCTTCTGCTATTGACTTGAAATTTGACAGAAACATTGGTAGTTCTTGTATGGTCGTTTGGTATTGAAAATGGGCCAAATCGGTCGAAAGACACGCCTACAGCACCGCTTATACTAAGAACCTCACTGTTTTTCAAAAGGAATAAAATAATGGTTTTTTGCTTATTACTCATAAACTATAGCAGATATATGTGCAAAAATTTTAAGGCACATTCACTAAGCGCATTTGTGACGTCTGTATCAAAAAACGGGGAAAAATTCACCACGTCTACCCACTATTATAGGGTATCAAAATTTCACTACTTTTTCAATACCTTTATAATGGGCAGAAACAAGTTTCAAGAACATCCATAAAGTATATGAATTCTTGGCCAGTTTCAAATTGGCAATATATCTAAACATGTCTGTCTGCCCATCTGGCCATCTGGCCATCTGGCCACAACTATGTAGCATTTGTGGTGAACATTCTCTCATTAGCGAAAATGAAGATGTCCCCTACAAATACGCAAAAGAATTTGGAAGTGACTTAAACTTTTCCCAGAACACGCTCACAACGCCCACGCGCCTTTAAAAAGCTTTTATTATAAGAATGGGCATATTATAGAGCATGAAAGTGTAGTTCTTTTACTTTCTAGGCCTTTTTTAGGATAACGGTGATGGGTACAAAAAATGCTGCCACGACCAAATCTAATCATCATTTTTCTTGAAGATTAAAGCTAACATTGTTGTTGGGTTATTTTTTTTTTTTCTAATTAATTATGTTATTTGCAAGGGTCCCTTTTTTTATAACTTCACTATACCACATATTGTTCATGCATCCAGTTATTTTCAAGCGTTCATTAACTTTCTCATATAATGATCGTAAAATAATTTGTTGTTATATTTTGTCTATATCGGTTTGAAGATTTCGAGTTAAGCTGGATAAAGGGTAATGATTTTGAAAAAAAAAAGAAGTGATTCTCTACTCATATATTCCACGCAGTAATAACGCAGACGAAAAGTCTTTTTGTGTGGTTTTGCTATCTTGCTTCCTCTTTGGGTATTGCTTTCGAGAATTATCAACATTTTGCTTTTTTAATAGACAATTACGAGCAAATGAAGCATGCGAAATAAAGTCATGTCAAAGCCAAGATAGCGTAAGATGCCCTTTTCTGAGAAGCCAGATGCGGTAACTTACTGTATGAGTGACTGTAATATAAAAAGTATAATAATTTATTTTTAACCGTGTCTGTCCATCTATAAATTCGTTGCAAGCTCTTTCGCGGTAGCGAAATTTGAAATTGCAAAAGCAATATATTTCTTAATTCCGTTGGTAGATTTACGGGCGATTTTGTTATAAAAAGAGAAAAGAACTTAAATTTACCTGTATTAACCAAAATGATCTGCCTGGACAGCTTTGTGTTGCTCCGGCAATAATTCGTTTTGGTTTCGATGAACCCAAGTGAACAATGCAGCCGCAACGGCAGCCTGGACCAATTTCTTGACTTACACCAGTTCGGTTAATGTTATTGATAATAGCTCCGCCACTTTCATATATACAATCCCAAGTGTCGATCACTGAATTGCCACATTTCTCAGTCTGTACCGAAGCACCCTGCAGAAAAAGAAAAAAATTATTCAATTCAGTGATTCTACTTACAAGTTCTATTTATCAGAAAACCTTTTTCCAGCAAAGTTTTTCATGGTACTAAGGGCAATTAAATCTTTTCATAAAACTCTGGACAAACGTTAACTATACTATGCTTTGTTTAAATATTTTTTTAAACATTCTTGCACCAGTACAATGAATAAACGAGTCTGTCATCATCATGCCGTGTCGTCGACATGAAAGCACCTGGAACTTGAAAAAGTACTTCTCGGCACAAAAAAAAACTCATCTATGAGCGTTCTATAGGATGTTATTGCTTTCAGTCATTTGAAGAAGGTATAACCATCGATATACTGAATCGTGATTGAATAAAACAACTCGCTCTCTTATTATATTCTTTATGAAATATAATCCTTCGTATACGAAACAATTTAAGTTTTCGGCTCATACGTTAGTTGTAACAATAGTCTACACTAATCTAGTAAAACAAATTAATTTCAAAAGCGTCGTCTTCGGTTGTTAGTGGGATGCCTGCAGTTGTGCTTCTTTTAGTCGACATGCGTGTAGCTTTAGATAATGCTGATTGGCCTTCTTCCTCTATATCAACTTTGGACGAAGTCATGGCTGGAGTTGCTTTGTGGTCGATCGTTTCTTCTCCTTCTTTTATCTCGTCTGCTCCCTCGGCTTTTGTTTCGGAAGGTTGATATTCGTCACTTGAAGATTCTTCGCCCATATCGTCTGGCTCTTCTTCTGGCTGTATTACGTCAAGGTCTTCGTGGGAAGATGACACGTACAATGTTGAGCCTAATTCAACGTCTACAATAGACCCAACATCACTGGTACGAGCTTTCGGAATGATTTTGCTAGCTTGACTTTGTAATTTAAAGTCGCCCGACATTATTGCAACTGATGTAACATCTTGAGCTTCCTGCTTAAACATTTCCATAAGCGAAGAAGCCACTTTTGGTAAGAAACCCATTCCACCGGGTCGATAAATTGAACTTTGCGAACGCGAGAGACTTAAAACAGATGGTGTAGGTGCATACCATTCCATGTGGCTGCTTATTATCTCTATAAGCTCCGATAAGAGACCTTGACGGGTAAGCTCGTGTTCGGTCATTTCATCTTTCTTAGACGTAACAGGCGACGGTTTGTGTTTTTCTCTCTCTTTTTGACATAAAATTGCTGTTGTTACACTAATTTTTATTTGTTCAAGCACTTTTTTCAAGCGTACAATTTCATAATTATGTTGTTTATGTATGGCGAGCAAGTGATTCTTTTCAGTTTTCAGTTTCTCGAATTTTTGACCAAGCGTGCGCAATTTTTTTGAAGCGTCGTGGTAATTGAAACGATCGCATACGTCACGTTTCATAATATTTTCATAAAGGGCTCGATATCTAAGAGCTTCGGTATATTTACCCTTCAAGCTTTCATATCTTTTGGTGAGTTTCTCTATAATATTGACTTTATTTTGTGAACTATAGATAAGCTGAGTTTTTAATTGGTCCAAGGATGCGCACTGTTCTGCCATTTCTTTGCGATCCTGTAATTGTTCTTCAAGGTCCCGGTGCATTCTAATTTGAGCTACGACTAGGACTTCAATTTCCTTTTGGAGAGCAATATTTTCGCGTATAAGACGTCGCGTGTAACCGGCATTCCGTATCTCACTGGATCGCGTGAAATCCTCAGAGACTTGGAGCAATTTCGCTTCGACTTCCTTTTTGAGAGCATCTTTTTCTACAACCGCTTTTTGCTCCATATTATATATGATTTCCTGATGTAAACGATCTTTTTCTTTAAGTTCTTGCTCCTGATCGTCATATTTAGACAATAAATGATCACGTTGTATACGGAATTCATCCAAGGAATTTAATTTACCGTTAAGCAATTTTATTTCAGAAGTGAGTTGATTACGCATTGCTTTATACTTAACTTCCAAATCCTTAATATGCTCTGCCGATTCTTGTTTTTCAGAATTACGCACCTTCGTCATTTCCGATAGGTTCTCTTCCAATTCGAGAATGGTATCGTCACGCGCGGCCAAGCTGCGTTCCAAGTGAGCGGCGATATCTACACGATCCTCTTCCATATTACGCAGCTTTTCAGTCAAGGTCACATTGGTATCATCCAAGCTGTTCACATGGGCGCGCAAGCGAGCTAGCTTTTTATTCAAATCAGTTATTGTCAACTCATAGAAAGTCTTGTCCACTTGACTAAGCTTATCCTTGGCTTTCTCACCCTTCTTCTTCTTGCCTTTATCTCCCTTACCTTTGGTGGCCATTCCTGCAGCAATTCGAAACCGATACAAATAGCAAATCGATATTAACGACGCACCTTCGATTGAAAATTATATTCTCGAAAATATATAATATATAATGAAATCCTAAATTCCCAAATGTCCTGCCTAAATATGCAGCTGAAATGAAAACCGTCCGACTGACTACTTGCGAACGAAACTTATAAAAAGTTAATGAATTTTCTTTGCTCCTATGACTGACAAGAAAATAAATGCCTATACATTGAAAATATTAAATCGATTTTAAGAAATGGTTAAGCGTTGCCCCTAACAACTAACAGGTGTTATTAATATGTTTGCAGGAAAAGCTATTCCTTCGCCAACGTTTCTCATAAAATTGCGTTGAAAATGCGAAAACAAAGGGACATTTTTTAACTTTCTCTAAGCGAATATTTGATACAAATACGTACGCTTCTCATGGTAACGCACTTTCCATCCATGTATACACGAAATTGTGGAAGTTCTTCTTAATAATAATTTCAAAACAAAACAAAAGTTTTAATATACATTTTCACTGCATACTTGCGAACTGCATACAAGCTGTAAAATTCTTTAAACGAAAAATAATCTCTACATTACCCGTTGAATATTCCCCCTTCCTCTAACTCCAAACGCTTTACTTACTCATTTCTTTATCATGCTAAGTCGTTGTTATATTCGAAATTGAAAAATGTATACAGACGTTTCTCGTATAACGCAGTTTCGAGTTTTATTTTTATATAGACTAAGATATCATACAAATCATGGCAACGTATACCGTGTTGTATCGAAATCTCTTTATAAATCAAGGCAATATCTATTTCAATACAAAAAAAAAACCAAATCTTAAAGGGTAAAATTTTATGATGGCTTAATTTGCGTTCCAAACTAAGTGAACTTTAAGTTTTTATAAATATAATGTGCATCTCAATTATTATAATTACTTCAGACGCAGAAAAAAGTCTTAAAGCGCTAGCATTTTAAATCTATTAGCTTTACTGAGATTTGAATCCACGACCATTGAGTTGGTAGTCGCCTACGCGGCTACTTAGACGGCATAGTGTCCAATGGCTAGGCGATCGATATGTACACAAAATTCAATTTTCATCAAAAATTATAATTAATTTAATTTTTTTTTTTCTAAAAATTCTTTGAAACTCCTCTTACCCAGGATAAAATGAAAATGATAGGAAAATGAAATTAAGAAAAAAAAAAAAAACATCTGGCGGAATATATATTTAATTGTTTGCAATCGCGTTGTGACATTAGCAATAGCATTTTATGTAGCGTGTTATACGAGGGACATCTGTACATATTTGATACAACGAAATGCTCGCTACCTATATATCTCTATGAAATACATTCAGAAAATATTGCATCATATTTTGCTCTATCAAAAACAATACATATCGCATAGAGTATTAAAAACTTTTGCTTTTCACAATTGCAAAGTTTCTTTTAACTTCATAATAGTATTTACATACTTTATGCATCTGTTTAACAATACGCTCTTTTTATATCCATGCATTTCCGTCATGAATACTAGTAGTGCACTAGTGCGAATACGTTTCTTGGTGCATCTTACTTTACATCTCCATTAACATTACAATGCATTCATTCGCATACTTTTGTACCTATTGTTACGCGTCAAAGATTATTAACCCGTAACTATAAGCGTGAGCAGCGGAATAGCTTTAGACAAATTTGTAAAGTGTATCTATGTCTTTCTGCTTGCCCGTCGATGGGCCGAAATTGAAAACTTAACTCTTTACCATTAGAACCATTCCATACCATAAGCGCCGTTTCAATTAGCATAGTTGGAAAAATTAGTTATTTACCTCTTAGGAATATTTAATCGCGCTAGTGTTAATTGACACATTTTTTTTAACTACGTTACTTTTCATTATATATACATGTACATAATATGTATCTATATGCACCAACGAACAAGGATGAGGGTGTAGTTACTTTATCCAAAACTTTGCAACACCTTTGTAAAAAAAGCTTTAAAGATCCCATCAATTTTATATATTCTTAATCAGCATCAAATTCTGGATAAATTTAAGTGCGTCCTACCATCTACCTATCTAATTGTCTGTCTGTGTAATCTCTGTGGTAAGCACTTTTCTGATCTTAAAAATTAAGCTATCGGTTGCGGATTTGGTAAAAACATTGGAAGGTATTGCAGGTAAATTGGTATTGAAAATAAGCAAAATCAGTTCAAGGACACGCCAAGAGCACATAAACTGCAATATAAACTGAGAGCAGCTAGGTTTCCAAAAGCAAACAAGTAATATTCGCTCGTGATCGAATCTTTTTATACCGATCACCGTTATACTAAAAAAGTCAAAAAAAGTAAATGCCAAGTTGGGGTCACTTCATTTCCCCTAACAGAAGAATGTTCACAGTTGGACAAAGAGACAGATAGACAGATGAATAAACGGACATGTTTAGATGCATTCAAAATTCGAAAGTGGCCAAAAATGTATATACTTTATGAGGTTTTTAAATCTTGCTACTGTGCGTCATAAATGTTTTGAAAAAAAAAAATACAATTATGACACACTATAAAATTAAGTAGGCGCGGCCGATTTTTCCAATTTTCGTGTACAGATGCTGCAGCATCGCCCATAGAATGTACGGTCAAATTTTTGTAGTTTTATCTGGTATAGTTTACGTGGTACTGTACGGGTGTCCTCCGTGCCATTTTGCTCTTTTTCAATATCAACCTACGTGCAAGAAGCTTCCAATGCGTTTGCTAAATTTAAAGTCGATAGGCTTACTTTTGCGGCCTGAAGAATATTTGCAACAGATATTATACATAGATGGACAGACGGGCTAATCAAGGGCGCGTCCTTTAACTGATTTGGCCCATTTTCAACCAACCTACGTGCAAGAACTTGTAATGCTTTTGCCAAATTTGAAGTAGATAGCTTGACTTTTGGGGCCATGTTGAATGTTTGAAACAGCGATTACAAATAGGGACAGACGGATGTGCTTAAATCGATTCAGAATTTGATGCCGACCAAGATTATATATACTTTGTCGAGTCTCTATAGCTTCCTTCTGGACGTTGCCAAAGTTTTGACAAAATGAATCGTTCCGTGATGGGTATAAAAAATGGTATTTTTGCTCATCATATTAAACACTAATATACCTTTTGGAGCCTTCAGTGTCTGAGCGAAAATGGAAAAGATCATCCACGCATACCCAATAGTATAGGCTATCGGGCTGTGACCATTTTTTTTTTTTTTTTTTTTAATGTATAGATTGTGGGTATAAAAGGTGTAATTGTTTTACTTGTGTCATGTTGCAATATGCAGTTTGTTATGTTTTAAGGAAATATTAGTTTTGCAATAGGTAAACGATTGACAAAAAAAACGATTCATTTTAAACCGAACATAATTGCTTTCTTGTTCAAATTTGAAGAGGAAATTATTAATAAAATTTAATGAATTGAAATTTTTTAGTGTGAATAGATTTTATTTTTTTAGCGAAGATACTCACCTCACAGAATTTGGCTCCATAGCGTGGAGGTGGCGAATCACAGAAACGATAACGATTGCGTGTACCGCCCAAGCAACTGGTTGAACAAGGCGTCCATTCGCTCCAAGGACCCCAACCGCCAGTATCAGATTCTAAAAAGTTAATGCAACGTATTATACACGCTAATCGGAAACGCAAAGAGATTGCACACAGGAACGAGAGGAAAAGAATTCTCTCGAAAATATTCACAATACAACTCTGACCCTATTAATTATCATTTGTTATTTGTGACGAGCGAACATTTTAAGGCAATTTTTTGTATAAAAAGTTTTTTAATACTTAACGAGACCGCGTAAAGTAAAGAAATGGATATTAAGCCACGCAATTAATTACACTACAATTGCACCTATATATATATATATATATATATATATATATGTATTATATATGATACACTAACTATATATTTGTTTGTAATATTTGAAGATATTTAGTCTTATCTGGCTGTCTGACTGTTCGCTATGCGATCAATTTATCAGGTAAATCATTTTTTGTGCTGTCTTACAGTTAAGAAAACCTGATCGTGAGTAAATATAATTTCAAACACAGATAATTTCATGAGTGAAACATGGTAATGTTTCTCCCGCTCTTCAATTTGACATCTTGACGATGAAAGTATATATAAAAATTTCGTGTTTATGGGGATTATATCGCTGTACGTACGAACTTCTACATATGAATGCTTCACTTGCCAAATCGATTAACTCCACAAAACGAGAAGTTGTGAAAAATGATAAAATATTATAAATAAATTATTTTCATTATTGTGTGGCCAAAACGATTTTGTCATTTAGTGGTGTTAATACTTATTATTAGAGAAATTCGTTTTGAATATGTACAGTTAGGAGCTAATGAAGTGCTTTGATATTAAAACTTAATAAAATTCCAGAAATGGACTTAATCGATTTGGCAAGTGAAACATCTATATGCAGAATTAAATTAATTATGTATGTGTAACGACTTTACAAAGTTAATTCGGCGAAGATGATTGAAGCAATTCATAGTCGCGGTTTTATGCTCTATAAAGTATTTAAGAGGACTACTATACTTACATCCGTCGATGGGTGTTAATGAGAACGTTTAGGCATTTGATGAGAGTTTAAGCACAAGATCAAATATTATTAACATAATATGATAAATATGTTTATTGAAAAGCTTTACAATCCATATATAGTAAACTCTTCTCTCCATAAATAATATTTCAATTTGCACAAGTTTTGATAGATCCTTGTGGGTAACTTACTATTGGCACTGATTCCTGGATATATATATATATTTATACTGAATGACGACAGCACTATGTCTGCCACGACACCTAAGCTTTGTTTTCATTTTCTAAAAGCATACAATTTCATTGAGTGCGGATAATAATTGAGAACAGTCGCCATAAAGCGATGATATTAAGCGACGTCAATTTTATAACATATTAACCCATAAAAGATGCAAAAACATCATTCAAACAGCATTCATTTGAAAATATATATATATATATATGACCCAAATGCTAAACGCGATGCAATGCTAAAGACATTGCATATGTTGGCAATTGATGAAATGAGTGATTGAAAGATATTAAATTGTTATTGCATTTCTATAGAAGAAGCAATTTATTTATTGAACAATGCATAGAGACAAAAATATCGTATATTGCTTTAGCTTACAGCGATTTACCCGATAATAGAAGAAAAAATTGCAATATTGCGAAATATAAGTTGAATGACAAGCAATTGTGCATCTGTATTATACAGCAGAATGCACGCGTCGAAATTATAGAACGAAAAGTGTTGCAATAGATTATAAAGTAACGCGAAATATGTCATCAGCATAAGCGCTTTTTCTATCTTACTTTTTTTGCAGCGTAATATGTAACTGTTTTGTTATTGGATATTAACACTGTGAGCATTGATGTTGTTATGATTATGGTAATGATTAAGTAAAAGCAATACGAATGAAAGATTCTTCTCTATACTTACCTCTAACTGGTAGAGTGGGTACACAGTCCATCCGGACATCCGCAACTGCACCTGATATAGCTTGGCTAACGTAAACAAAACAATATTCTACGTATTTTTCGGTGAAAAGATCGCAACTGAAGTATAGCGAATATTGATTTTTCACCACTCGCTGTTCAGCTATGTAATGCAAAGTGGTTGGTGGTTTTAGGGAAGCAACATCTGCTCTTAGTTTAGCATATAAACGTACTCGATCGCCTTGCTCTAAAATGCATCCGGGATATTCATAAAGTACCCCTATACCGGTATGGGGATCACATGGGAAAATACTGCGCGCGTAAACATTGAAAACATACTTTTCACTCCAATCGACGCTAAGGAATCGTCGAGTTATCGGCACGTTAAGAGTTGTTAGCATCGGCCTTAGCTGCACCGCATAATTTCCAGCCAAACCGAAAAGTTCACAGTTTAATTTCACGTTAAAATATTTCGGATAGCCTCGCACTTGCTCGGCAAATAAAACGCTAGATTTCGATATGTTTTGCGGCATTAGGGTGGAGCAGGGGCGTTCTTTGCCACAATATATTAATTCAAGCCAAAATTCTGGCAAATCCTCGCTACGCCATGCCTGATCGCAGTTGACTTCGGGAAAACGCAAAGTCACTTCTACCGGCCGGTCGGGATATGTGCGTAAACGTACAGGGCTAATAAGCATTTCAGCGCTAGGCCATCGCACATCCAAGGTCTGTTTTAAACGTTCATCCATTATCGGTATCAAAGTCGTAGTACTTGTGGTCATGGTGGGTTTAGCTACACCAGACTGTGATGTTACAGGAATTTTCGTCGAATTCAGCGGTATATGATTGAAAGTTTTCAAATTTGTTACTACTTGCATTTCATACAGTCCACCGCGTATAAATGTCTGACATGGAACAGCAATTTGTGTCACATTGTATCTCGGATCCGGATAGACTGGAATATTTTGTACAATTTCTTTGCGTTTGCGTTGCAATATTTTGCCATCAATCATGGTATCATTAGACTCTATAAGAGCTACCGTTGTAGTTGTTGTTGGGAAAGCTTCAGGCGCTGTCAACTCTTGCACCTCATCGATATATTTACTAATGACCAAAGTACTTGTGATAATGTTCTCAACAGTTTTTGTTTTTGTCTCTGTGACATTTCCACTTGATGGCTGTTTGGTGCGTGCTGTTGTCATATTGCCAACAGTCTCCTCGAAGGTGGTAGATATCGTTGCTGTGCTATTAATATTGCGATTATCGTCATCCTGCATAAACTGTATCTGTACATGAAGATCTCCGCTTAAAGCGGTGAATGTGCTCGGAGTCATAAGACGACCCTTTCGTATTGCCAGCACGTGACCTTTTTTTTTTTTTTTACATTTTTTAAAACACGTATTCATTCATTCATTCATTCATTCGTGACGCACATGCATCAATAATATTGTGGTAGTTGCAAGGGTGGTAGTTTTTAGATGATTAAAATTACGTGTAAGTAAAAATGAAATAAAAAAAAAAGAAGATAATTAGCAAATGTCTTCATATAATACAATCTATGGTATGTTTATCTATATTAATGCGTTTTCTTCCCTTTTCTTTTTGGTCTTTTAACGAAAACTCTAATCCTTTTCATATAAGCTTGACTGAAATGCTCAGTAGTTGTAGATAATAATTTTAGCTTCAATGTTTAATAGAGTCGTCTTAACTTTCAAACCACGACACGCTTGCTGCAATGCTCACAATTAACGAAAAACCGCTTAGTATATAGTCAGTCATTGTTCTCAAAAATTCTCGTAAATGCAGACACATCTCTCTTACCAGCCAGGAATAATGCTTGGGGATTTTTTTTTTTTTTTACAAAATCGAAAACAACAAGTTTTAACGAAATTTCGAAAAAACTTTTTGAAAAGATTTTTGAAAAAATTGCGCGACAAAATGCAAGTTCAATATCGAGTTTGCTCGATAAAGAGAACCGTAAATCGACCTTTGGTAACTTGCTTGTAAAAGTATATATAAGCAAAAGATTTGCATAAGGCAAAGTCAGTCGAGTCAAGAGAGCTCAATGGTAATATTTAAACGGACAAGACCGGAGGAAGCATTGTAAATAAAAGTTCCTGCAAATAATTTGTAAATAGATCTCCTAAGTTTTGTAAATAAAGCTTAGATTGTCTTAAACTACATAACTCAGTGATAGGAACTTAATCGCAAAGGGGGGGCTGAATAAGAAACAACAATTTACGTTATAATACTTAATGTGACATTGTTATGCGTACTAAACGCAGATCCACCTAGTCCGGCCAGTTTCTATGCCAAACTACTGATGTCTTTTCTCTCTAAATTTGACTTTTTCTTATCCCTTAGGTGGCGCAGGATACAAAAAAAAAAATAAATGTGCAGCGAATTTTTAAACTGAATTCCGTTTACAAATCAATATACAATGCGAAATATTGAAAATGAGACCTTCTTGCCATAAAAGCACTTATTTTTCGTGACAACTGTTATACGGAAGGAGGCTCACAAAATTGACCCATTCGATCCAAGTTTTTTCCGTCGATTAAGTATGCCGAAATACTTCGAATCAAAATCGGAAAAATGGTTCAATTCAATCCATTTTCTATAAAATTCGTGGTTGCATGCAAGCTTTTAAGAAAATAAAAACCATAGATGGAGATCGGACAGATAAATGTGCTTAAACCGTTTCGGAAAATAATTTTTAATCTAGAAGTTGTATAAATTCGTAAGCATAAATTTAATATAATTGTAGGATATAGTCATAAAAGTCGCTATATCCATCACCAGAAATTAATGCAATACAATAACAAGTAGGAAAGTTTAATTGCACTGTGGCTGAATGTTTTATAACCAATACTTCATTCTTAGAAGAAACATGAAAAAAAAAAAAACTGAATTTTATAGATAGATACTCTACAGTATTTAATAGGCGTGGCTGATCGTTTGCATTTCGATTCAGGATACCCGTGAGGAGCAAAATACTCAATTATTTTTTCTTTTTGAACACAGAGGTAGTTGCAAGGTAGGCCGTACCGTGGGCATGATCTTCGACCGATATGACTCATTTTCAGTACCAAGACGCGTGTAAGAACTTGTAATATTTTTGGCAAATCTTGAAACAAAAGCTCTTCACATTTTCGACATTTTTCGTAGACATTACACCGACGGAAGGACGGACCTGGTTAAACTTGATATTAATTGAGAGTGGAGAAGCATTCTCCTGCATATACATTGAATCTTCGATGATGCACATATAAAAATCATTTCTAATAACGGTAAGTATACCAATTAGAATTAAATTAGAATCATTTTCACATTTATCTCTTTAATGACTCTGCACAATATTTACACGAAATTCTAGAATAAGTTACATGTTTTGTTTATTGTACATGCGTTTGGGTATGGATTGCAAATTTTTATTTGTGATCATCAAATAAAAAAAATATATATACCGATTTTCCATATTCTAAACAATAGTTCGAATAATGCATTGACTTCATAAGGTTTCCTCAAGTACATTGTTAATTATCTACTGCTAGGTCCTATTCTTCGTAAATAAGTATAAAATGAAAATGAGATTTATTTGAAAATTTTTATATCAATAAATCGTAGAGTTAGTTAATTTTCCTTAAAATAAAGGGTATAATGTTTTTGACTTTTCAACTATTAAAAGATTACAAAAGAAGGATAATTAAAGGGTCGTCGTCGTTTCGGAAATCAAATAAGTCAATTGAATGATTTAGTGAAGAAGAAGGAGACATTTGATGATGATGATCTTCAAGCAGGTAGACTATTACGAGTCGCTGCCTTTTCAATTTGTAGAGAAGTATGGATCACAAATTTTATACGATCCGCAGATAAAGAAATGAATTTAGGAGAAACCCGTTTAAAAATTTATGAATGAGGAGATGATGTATTCTGGCTCTCAATTCATAGAATAATAAAGATTGATCCTCTACTTGAATTGGATCCTTTTGCTACCTTCGTGCTTATAAAGAGTATTTTTATACTTTACATCATTTGTTGTACAAGTGTATATTAAGTTTTTACGAGTGTAGGCATAATCCAGAAGGACTTGGGATAGACCGTACATTCACTTAATGAATCGATCTAACTTTGTCTGTTCGTCTATTCAAGACGAATAGACGGACAGAAACAAGACGTTCCTTATATTGAAACTGCAGGTCGCAACTTTTGAGATATTTTGATTAAATTTGGTACACCAGCCTACTTTCGTCCAAAGACAAATGCTATTAAAAATGCTTCGGATCGACTCAATTTTTCGACAACTCCCCATATAACACGTCATTGTAAAAAATCATTGCATGCATAATCGTATGGCGGTGTTGGGCATTTAATAGTGGAACTTGACACACTATAGTGAGACAGTTTTTAGTTATTAGATTTATATTTTTACTTTTAAATCACTATAATAAATACATATTCAACTTTCTTATATACTTCTTCACTTAATATAGACTGTGTTTACTTTTCCATTTTCCAGAGTTGCTGTATTTTTATTTTAAGCGATTTCTACAAACTGCAAATAATTATTTCTTTTTTGCATGATTCAAATATTATTGTACGCATATACCATAATTCGATTATTTTGAACAGTTTACGTCTTTTGTTTTCGGTAAATGTTTACGAAATATTTTTCATTAACATCCTGTCAAATGCACATATATTGTAAAGCAATTTTTGTTTTTCGATGCAAATAAAATACATATGCAAAAAAGATGGACGCGAATTATAGAAAAGGAATATTGTAAATATGAAGATAATTGATAAAATATAATATTAAAGAATAATACTCACTTGTGCAACATAATAATAAAATAATGAACGTTAATATGACAATTTGCCACTTAGTATAAGATGTCTTTACGTAAGCATTGGCAATGTTACGCTTAGCATTCGACCGGGATAATGATATCGCTTTATGATGAATTGCTGCTTTTGTTATTGTTGTTGTTGTTGTTGTTGTTGTTGTTATTATTATGTTTTTTGCTTCTGTTGTTTTATAAACTTCTTCGGTTAGATTCAAAAGTGATGAGCTCTTAATATTGCGGTTAATGCTGCTATTGTTAAGATTATAGCCGCACATTGCAAAGAGAGAATTTGATTTTTTATCTCCATTCACAACTCTTGCGCTACTTTTTTTATAAATTCCTATTTTTCCGTTCTGCATAACAGATATTATTACGCTGCCTTCTTCTCACATCGACAATTACTCGCACAATCACCATCCTTCAAGTGCACATACACGAATATGCGATACATTACTGGAGATTATGTTATGAAAGTTGAAATGAAGTTTCAACGTTAGACGGTATTATACGGAGTGTAATGGTACGGCGGTAAACCATAAGGATTGCGGGTGAAATTCATTATTGTCAATTGTTTGTGATTCTCTTTTGAATTACTGTAATACTGCTGCATATGTATTATATGGGCATGTGTGCATTTGTGAATGTGTGCATGTGTGTTGATTTGATTTTAGCCTTAAAAGAAAAAATAAATCACAAATGAATTCAAATACTCTTTATAATCATACGTTGGCCGCATTCTTCAAGGGGGAAATATTTGCCAGTATACGGATGATATGATGTTTGGAGACTTTTAGATAAAGTCACAAAAAAAAAAAAAAATAAATAAATAAAGAAATGTATCTGCAAAGAGAAGCAAACGAAACAGAAATTGAATATTCCGAAATCTGAAACGCTTACGTGAAATAATTGTGTTTAAAAATTTTTTCATCTTTCGACAACTTTAGCATAAAATAGAAATGAGAAACAAAGAAAAATTGAAAATTTTTTAATTGAAACTCATATACAAAATAATCGAGAGAGAAATTGCCAATTATTTGCATCATTAGACTGCAAGACTCCGCAACGAGATATATTTTCATTTTATTTTGAAAAATTAAAAACGGATTTTACTTTATAAATTTTTTTTTTTTTTTTTTTTTTGTTTTTTTTCTATCGAGTAATATTTTGCATAAAAGGTCTAAAGTTTTCCATTTAGCATTTATCATTATCCACGCATCCATATATCACATTTCTAGTGTTTCAACGAGCTTTAAACGAAACGAAATTCACAGAACTCTTACAACTGCTTTTTTACTTTTGCGTCATAGTTGCTTTGCATTACATTTGTGCAACATACATAACAGGACATGAAAGCAAGAGCTAACTAAACGTACATTACATTAAAAGAAATTAAGTGACAAAGAAATATAATCGCCTTAAAACAAAAACCTGGACGACCAACATTTATGTTCAAATGCGCAAAATTCAAATTGAACACATATTTCCCATATAGTTGGACACAACATTATATACATTCATTATATATTATGTTATATATTCGTTCATTCGTTCGTCCGTTCGTTCGATGTTACAGACGGAATGAAAAACTTTTACACTTTAATTGAACATAAGTCTCTGCTATGCTTATATCTATCTGTCTGTTCATTTGTTTGTCGAAATTACTCGAAACTTAAGAAATTTAATATTTTAATGTCACAATATTTTGACTTCATATTAAAATGGACGAGGGATGTTTAAGCTTATTTTTATATTTAGTTGATATTTGAAAAGAGGTTTCAATTACGTTAAGTAATTAGATTAAAATTCAATAAATGTACAAATTGAAAGCTACCTTATAATGTACCCTTTAATTACACATTTTTTGCATTTATATAATAGCTATACAAAGGCATTCGTCCCCTTGAAATTGATCGCCTCATACCACGTACTCGTCGCATTCAATTCTCCCGGCATTTTAGTTATAGATAATCTAGACATTGATGTCAGCAAGACTAGCATATTATTCTGTTCTAATCTGAGAAAAAGTGTAAGTGAACCTATGGAAGTGATAAAGCTAGCTTTATGGTGAGAATGCAGTAAATGATGGAAGAATTAGAAAAAGGTTTGCGAGAATTTGTGTCAAAAGTCTTGACCTTTTACGATATATATGGATGAGGAAATCGAAAAAGTCTTTACTAAACGAAAATGCAGCACAGACTCATAAAGAGTTTGCTACACATTTCAATTCGCATGTGAAATGGGAAAACACAAACGAACAGAATGGAAAAAAAATATGAGAGGTAGGAAAGTGCATTCAGTCCTCATAAGCTAATCGAAGAGTTGACATCTGCTTATACTTTTCAAGCCGCAATGAAAACTGTAAATAGCTTTATCATATTATTACGGGTCATGAAAAATTGATCCTGTACGACAATTTTATCCTTCCGCATCTCATGGAATGCTTAACATTCGTGCGAAGAAAGTGCTACTGGAGTTATTTACTACGAACTCTTTAAGCCTGGTGAAATTGTCACATCTGATAGCAAAACCAATTAATCAGTGTAAGCGATAGGCTAGAGGAGAACAGATCACAAATGCGTAAAACAAAACGAGATATAATTTTTCTGCTGCGTAATACCCATGTAAATATATGATTTTTTAGTTTAGGTTGGCAACTATTTGACCCATCCCGCATACTGAACATTCATAAATTGCCCGATAAACGGTAAAAGACCACTAAAAAGTATATATATAATCAAATTGAAATTTTATCAAAAGATTAAATGCATTTATTTACACACCTAATATACGTACATATACGTAATGCTTATATACGAAAAATAAAACAAAAAAAAAAATGAATAAATAAATAAATAAATAAAAGAAATTCGAGAATTCTTTCACCTATTCTCTGACGTTTATAATTTACGTAAACAAGAGAGAGAAAAGGAGGGAAGATTAATATATTTTTTTTTACAAACTTACGTAACTTAAGATAATGCTACCTAATTAGTAAGCAATTATAAGTCATCTCTCCGAATTGACTTATAAAAAAAACTTTCATGTTGTCGGGCATTGGTCGTTTTTACACAAACTTTTCAATTGCATTGAAAGGCACTTTAGAAACTTCTTTTTGAATGCATTTTGCAAACAAAATAATTGCGTAACACTATTGCTCGCATGAAAATGCTTTTATAAGCCTTCCTTAACCGTTCTTTTACAGACCACAAGTTTGCTGCGTAAAACAAAAAAAATTTCGATAGATTGTTTAATATCTGATTATGGTAGTAGGATTTTCTAAAAATCGGATCGATTTTAAGTAAAAACTTTTTTGCGCAAATTCTATCAAATCGGTTAAGGTAAATCTACTAAAAAAAATCTCATATAAAAAAATGTTATAATGAAGTTCGATTGACAATTGGAAGCGTTACAAACCACCGTCATTTTGAAAGACAATCTTACCTTTAAGAGAAATGTAGCTTAAGTTTCAATTTGAAGTGAAATTTTAATAAAATTTTCAATTTACTTTTAATTTACAGTATCTATACGGTGCGACTTGCCCCCCAAGGGTTCCGCCCCCGAAATTCGAACGGTGGAGACATATTTTCTTCAAAGCTAACAATATTCTTAACGCTAGCACGACTGAATACGTTGGTAAAGGCATGTAAACATATGTCGATACAATGGTTATAAGACAACCACCTAAGTGGTCGAGTAAGTAAGAATGGCGACTATAACAATACTGTGTTCATGGATTCAAGTTTCAAGTGTGGTAGGGTGTCGTACCGTCCAGCGCTCAGTCGGTAAATGTGTATAGCATGCATCGATTGTCAATGCAATGATTATAAGACATCTGCCTAAGTAGCCGAGTAAGTAAGAACCGCGATTAACAATTCCAGCGTTCACGGATTCAAGTCTCAAACGTTGTAGAATCCCCTTTCGCCGTAGCTGCAATCAGTGCTCAGTCGGCAATGGCATATAAACACATGTCCGTAGACAATTAAATGGTTATCAGAAAACCACCAAAGTGGTCGAGTAAGTAAGAACTGCGACTAACACTTCCAGCGTTCACGGATTCAAGTCTCAAGCGTGGTAAAGTTTCCTTTGGTCGTAGCTGTAATGAGTGCTCACCAACTAGGTCGTGGCCACCACCTCCCTAGTTTTTTCATTTTCTTCTCTTCTTTCTGACAGTGACGATGTTACGCCAACAGTGGACATCCTCTGAATGATTGGTCAAATTAAAAAAAAAAAAAAAAAATTTACAACTTAAGGATGTTGTAGGGATTTTTATTTATGTGAAAAGGCCTTTAAATTGATCTATAGCCAATGTTTTTTTACCTGTTCTAGTTATCAAAAAGCCGTTGACAGGTTTATTTTTCAACGAAAATGAATCGCTTCGATGAATCGCTTCGATTCATTTAGATAGAAGGCCAATAAAGTACAAACATTTGTCAATTGGCTGAGAAGCGAATATTAAAATATGGCTGTAATCTATCATATGGGGCAGGACGACAATAAATAAGAAAAAATTTAAATAATACCCGAAAATAATCCATCATATTATTTCGTCTATAACTTTTCAATCCCGTTAAGATATTTCCAAGAAACGTTTACCCAACGCTTATTTATCAAGGCAACTGGCATTTCTGCTTAAAAAAATGGTCCCAATCGATTTACTAATACTAATTAATAATAAATAAATTTTAACCGGCTTTGCCATATCGTAATGCATGCAAAGACAACTTTTTGCATTCGTATGCATGGCGAGTAAATGTTTTGATATCTATCGGATAAAAAGAAATAAGTCAATGTTGGTTGTAATCAGGGTAAATATGTAATGCATGTCGGATGATCTAGAGAACTGCAATTTGTTTGTCAATTGAACAACAAATATATTCGTTCATAATTTGAGGCCACAATTATGCTATCAGTAGAGCGTTGCTTTTTATTCACTATTTTGCTTTATTTTCTCTTTTCCTTTTAAGTCAATATTAATGATACGCTAAAAAGAAGCAGAAAGAACAAAGAAGACAAAAAATTATTTTCAATTTGGAACGAAATGTTCGTTGTCACCATCTTTGCAGTAATATTTTAATGAAATTCCTGCACTTGACCTATCCGAAGAGCATGGATGTGTGGTAACCGCTTTGATAAGCGCCGAGGGTGATTTAAGTTAAAACTCAACGAAAACTGATTGTCTGAGGAGAAGGCTTTTTGTAAATACCATTCATAGTTGTTTTCATAGTGGTAGTAGGTGGCGATAGGCCACATTATAATAGTAGATTAATTTGAGTAGACGATTGCAGGTTTACATCTATTTTAGAACTTGTTTTGCCCATTATTTTGTAAAACATCGCCAATCCGTTTAAGGTTAATTTTTAATGATTTTTAATAAGTGATAGGATAGCAAAGCAAGCAAAGCAAGAAACACCGGGATCTGATTGTAATAATTGATCAAGAATATAAAAGTGTTTAATACATAGTTAAATTGTTACTAATAATATAACAATGTTAGTATATAAAAATTTTATGGTAGGAGATATAAAAATGAAATCACAAACGGAACATACAAAACAGACAGAAATGAAAACATAAACAAAAAGATTATATGTACGTAAGCGAGTGAATACAGTTGTTGTACTCAATATACTTTCGAAAGCCCCGTAGTCCAAAAAAGAAGAAGAAGAAAAATGAAAAAATAAAAAAAGCAAAAGAAGAGAGTCATGTTAACAATGCAATCATTTTATAATTTACAACAGAAACTGGCAATATCAGGAACAAAAACAAGAACAGCAACAGCGACAATAAAATAGTGCAGAAG